TCTAACGCAACGAGATACAGCTCATTTCTGGCAATGCCGGCACGTCACAACGATTTACGAAATGAGCCGCTAAAATGCCAACAAACGTTGTCGAGGCAACTATTTTTTGTGGAAAGGCCTGCGGAAGACACGAAGTTTGATGAGGCAACTACAGGGTAGCAACTACACTACAGGCAGCAACTACATTCGCGTTGTGACATTTGTGTAATAGTGTCACTTATTTTGGGAGAATTTCGTCACCCGAAGTTCTAATAGCCTTGCACTTCGATTTTGAAACTAGCATTCTTTTGTCATAGTTATAGGGTGCAGCTTTTAATCTGTACTAATGTTGCTTGGAACTGACGGAGCTGATTTTATGCCCAGTCGTCTTGCTTAAAGTCCGAAGGCTGATTACAGTGCAATGCGCCCGACAGCATGTGTTCGGATGTACAACGGAACAAAAATGTGTGTCAATATCATTACACGCTGTTGTTTCAGTCGAATCGTTTTGGTACCACGTCGCCACGGTTCCGTGTTGCCGAACATGCCTTCACATGCCTTAATACATCCACCGCATGGATTGGGGTGCAGGATGTGAGAGACTTAGCCAACCCAACCGTCGAACTTCACCGCGCGTGGTCACCTGACCACCTGAACGGATGTGAGCACCGGTGTAATTATATGCCATTGTCTCAGCCGCATTGTTTTCGTCCCGTTTAGCTGCGAGCCTCAGCTGCCAAGTGTGCAGTGGCACGGCTGGCTGTCCGCTGGGCTGAGAACCGTCAGCACACAAGCCCACGAGTCCCTCACGACGACGGATCCGCCCCACACGGCTCACTCACGACTCACTCCCGACAGACCCGCTCCAGCACGACTCACGACTCACTCACGACGGCAGAGTCGCCCAACACGGCTCACTCACGACAACAGAACCACACCAGCAACAGACCTGCTCCAGCACAGCTCACGACTCACTCACGACGGACCCGCTCCAGCACGGCTCACGACTCACTCACGGCGACAGAGCCGCCCAACACGGCTCACTCACGACAACAGAATCACACCAGCAACAGACCTGCTCCAGCACAGCTCACGACTCACTCACGACGACAGAGCCGCCCAACACGGCTCACTCACGACAACAGAATCACACCAGCAACAGACCTGCTCCAGCACAGCTCACGACTCACTCACGACGACAGAGCCGCCCAACACGGCTCACTCACGACAACAGAATCACACCAGCAACAGACCTGCTCCAGCACAGCTCACGACTCACTCACGACGGACCCGCTCCAGCACGGCTCACGACTCACGCACGACGACGGACCCGCTCCAGCTCGGCTCACGACTCACTCACGACGACAGACCCGCTCCAGCTCGGCTCACGACTCACGCACGACGACAGACCCCCTCCAGCTCGGCTCACGACTCACGCACGACGACAGACCCGCTCCAGCTCGGCTCACCACTCACTCACGACGACAGACCCGCTCCAGCTCGGCTCACGACTCACTCATGACGACGGACCCGCTCCAGCTCGGCTCACGACTCACTCACAACAGACATGCTCCAGCTCGGCTCACGACTCACTCACGACGACAGAGCCGCCCAACACGGCTCACTCACGACAACAGAATCACACCAGCAACAGACCTGCTCCAGCTCGGCTCACGACTCACTCATGACGACGGACCCGCTCCAGCTCGGCTCACGACTCACTCATGACGACGGACCCGCTCCAGCTCGGCTCACGACTCACTCATGACGACGGACCCGCTCCAGCTCGGCTCACGACTCACTCATGACGACGGACCCGCTCCAGCTCGGCTCACGACTCACGCACGACGACGGACCCGTTCCAGCTCGGCTCACGACCCACTCACAACAGACATGCTCCAGCACGGCTCACGGCTCACTCGCAACGACAGATCCGCTTGAGCGTGGCTCACCACACGTCACGTCGTCGGCGGTGGGCGGGGAACTGAACAAGGCATTGTGCTTAGACAAAAACGGGGAATTTGGCTGTGACAAAAGTTTTGGATGCTTGCGGCCAAGCGTGTTGATCCCATCTTGCCGTGCCCCCTGCCCTCCCCTTGCCAAACCAATTACTGGGTTTCGACGTGCGTCACGGTGAGCTTTGGCCAATTTACGCATTGCGAATTTGGCAAAATGCGAATCTCGTGCTTCCCATACTGCACCAATGGGGCACGTTTGCACGAGCCGACGGCGACCTACTGACCGAATCCGGTTCCGAACTTTAGGAAGTGATGCGACCTTGCTGACCTAGCCGTTCGCCAATTTCCACATGGCCAGTGGGCACTGGTGCCGAGCTGTGACTGAACATGTGCAGGACGGCTGGAAGGACAATACGGAATTATGATTTTACATTTTATGAATTGCATCAGATTCGATCAATACACATGATCAGATACATCAGATATTGTTATATATATTTTTAAAGATGCAATCTGAACCTTTTCAAAACATCAGTTTTTGGGATCAGAGCTCACGCTAAGCCGTGCTTGTTGTGTGAGCACTGGCCCCTGCCATCCGATCGTGCAAATTGACGCCAACGGCAGAACTTGGTGGCGAAAGTTTAGCATGTCGTAATGCTCGGCATGGTCCGCCCTGTCCTATGACGTCACCTGACCTTTGGCACGGCTGTCGCCAACGGCCGCACTTCATATCTGTCGAGGGCAAATAGCGAGCGCCTGAAGCGACTCGAACCCATCCCGTCACGGGTAGTAAGATCGGAAGACACGCGCTCTAACCAGCTTTCATATCTGTCGAGGGCAAACAGCGAGCGCCTGAAGCGACTCGAACCCATCCCGCCACGGGTGGTAAGATCGGAAGACACGCGCTCTAACCGGCTGAGTCCTCGGGACGGACTAAACGCACTGTGTGTTCATAGGAACAACTCAACGTTGTGTCCGGACAACCAATGGAACTAACACAGCGAAATAACGACCGCAAGGTTAAGCTCACGCCCACACCTACCCGAGCTCCGAATCATGACGCTGAAGGACATTCCCTGAACTAGATCTATAGACACCTTGAAACAACAATGTCCTGCGCCGGAAGGCGTGGTTACCCATGCGGACCCCTCCACGTCACCGTGCGGACGCGGCTGCACGCACCACCGACGGCGCGTGCTTCCCAGAAGGTCGAACGTGTTCCCTTGTTCGAACCGATCGCTAACGAGGGGCCGTTTGCTTTCGCTCCCGGCAACCGCAACGACGTTCATCCCCATCCGAGTAATCAGTTGGTCACAAATACGTCATTTGTCAGCGGCGGTGTTCAAGAGCACATTAGGGACAGCACGCGGGCAGGTAACTGCCAGAGCTAGTCGGTGACAACGCCGAACCCCCACGGCGTGAAGGGACACGCACGCGTAAAGCCAGCACAAGGAGGGCGGGCCGGGCACCGCAGCCGTCACACGTGACGGCGAGACGGCTGCTGGCGGCCCGTCACCGGTGTGGTAACGCTGAGCCGGCGCGGATCGTGACCTCGGCCGAATCGTGTCAGCACAGCATTTACCTCACACTGACACGTGTGCGGCAATGACATACATGGCGAGTCTTTCTCCAGCCCCAAATGGCATGCAAATGTGCCGTTTTCCAGTCTGCCCACTCGCGATGCGGTGGAAGGCCTCACGTCTTAGCGTCAGCTGCAATATGCCGGAACTGCTGAGCTGCCACCGTGCTCATTTACAATTACCACATTGTCAACATCTTCAGCCGCTTCTCGGCCGCTGACAACGGCCCCAAGCTCCCTGCGCCCCGCTCGCCCCCCCCCCCCCCCCCCTGCTTGTCGACCAAAGCGGTGCCCCCTCACCTCAAGGTGGCGGCTGTACTTGGCTGCCGTGCGCTCGTTGTCGCTGCTCAGCTGCTCGTTCTTCTCGAGCAACGCCTTGCCGAGCTCGGCGGCCAGCAGCAGGTCCTGCTCCTTCTGCGCCAGCAGGGTGCGCGCCGTCGCCTCATCCGCGGCCATCTCGCCGCCGCCGCGTTCCACGCACGCCGCCCGCGCCATCCGCCTCGCCCACGGGTCGGGTGAGGTCAGGTCAGGTCAGGTCAGCGCGGTTCCGCATGTCACGTCCGACCGGCGTTGGTCTCGAGCTGCGTGCGGATCGGCCGCCGCGGCGCCCCTCGACGCAGTCCACCTGCTGAGGCGCAGACGGCCGCGGAGACGGTGCCGACGGCGCTCCCGCCCGCCCGCCGCCGGCCGCGCACCTGTACACACTGATTCACCGGCGGGTCGACACCGGCGCCGGCACGCTAGGTCCGCCCGCTGGTGTGCTGGCAGCGCGCCGCCCCGGCCCTACGGCCGGAACGAGTCTATGCTTGTGGGATCACCTCGGGATTAGCCGACTGGGTCGTTCGCTAATAGCGCACAAATGACGCACCACGGACACAGGTAGAAAATACACGGCACATTTATTCATGGTTCATGATTTACATGGTTCAGGGTTTATAAATGGCTGAGTATGAAAACTGCATTCCAAAACATGCAATTTCACCATTCTGCTTTACACATAGTGCGTTTTACCCGACGACAAACCGTACACAATGGCAGTGCGGTGAGCTCCACTTCAGAACACAGTGTATTTGCATGTTAACAATGAATACTGAACTATTCGCGGCTAATGAGAACTGAGTCCGCTTGCATAGTTATAACACAAACCCGGAGTGGCGCGGCCGTGGAGGGGACGGATGCCGGCCCGCCGACACGGTCATGACGGGACTGGGTACGATTCGTTCCGGAAGAGCCGACCGAGCGCCGGACCGCTGCCGCTGACCATCGCCATGACAACCATTCCGAAGACCAGAGCACGCGCCGGCCACCTCCGGTCAGCAAGTATGCTATGTACAATCGCGCAGTCACATAAATATGCATACTGAAAATGTCACAACTAATGCCCTACGCTGCCAAATCGATTCGGACCGCACAAAAATGAACGATTTCGTAAGGCTCCGCGGAGCAGCATGATCAGAAGAGATCAGAAGAGATCTCTTGATCCCTTCTGATCTTCATGATCAGAAGAGAAGCTGACCAACTAAGCCCAGACATTTCGTAAAAACGCGACGCCCATAAAACATGACAAACTTAAGCAAGCTGCAACCTAAACCGCTTTCGGACGTGTCTGTCTGCCCACAGAACAGTCGGAAGTATTCGCACTGGCCACAGCCGAACAGCAGCGGCGTGGTGCCGACAGACGGCCGCCGACCGCGCCGGCGAGCCCCGACCCGTCCCGCTCCGGCCGACAGCGGCGGAGCTCAGCGCCGCACCGGCCAGCCACCGGTGTTTGAGCCCAGCCGCAGACCCTGCCGGACGCGTCCGCCGACCCACTGAGGCGTAAAGCATCACCGCACAGCGCTGCCGCGACCTGTGGCCCAGCGTGGCGCAGCACAAGCCCGCGTCACGGCGCGACGGGCCCGCCCGCTGCGACGGTCCGCAGCGCCGCGCGTCACACCCGGGACAAGGTGGGACGCCTACTGCTGCGGTCGGACGTAGCAGGAGCGCGTGTAGTCTATCATTTGCCGCAGCACGGCGCTCAGCACGAACTCGGCGCTGTAGATGGCTGCGGACGGAGTGGGCAGGCGTCACGCGCACGCGGCCAGACGGAAGCGTTCCGAACACATTGGTCACACAACATAAAACGGGGCCTAACAGCGGGGCTTATTGGGGTCAGCGGAAGAAACAATGCCACAGGTCGGGGCTCGCATAACCTTGCATTGGTCGCTTTCGGATAACGTCCTCCTCCTACTTACAGAGACCGTGGAAAAATCTGGGTATCTCTGCGCTGAAACTTCAGGTCTACATCGGCACAGGCATAATGATAGACCACGACCTTCAGCAGTTTTCTCCGTTTATCAGCCTTAAGTGCGGGTAGCACGCAGAAGTGTTGCAGAACTCCTGTCCAACGGGGATCTCTATGCGTGGCGGCCACTCCCCAGCGAGAGCGGATCCGCTCTGACCACGGCGCCCCGCCCCGCCCCGCCCGCGCCACTCACGCAGTCCCGCCTTGAAAATATCCTCCACCAGGTGCAGGTCCGTCTCGCACGTGATGACGTAGTGGTTCTGGAGGCGTGGCTCCTTGAGCGCCTTGAGTGGGCGGCGTCGCTCCTCGACTGTGCCGCCCGAGCACTGGATGATCTCGGTCAGCGCCCGTCGGCTCGGCACCACGCCTGGGGTGATGTGGAAGCTCATGCCCTGCCGGCGGCGCGGCGGCGTCAGCGCGAGCCGGGCGCAGGAGGACGAGCAAGTACGGTTGTGACGGACCAAACGGGCTCCCAAGAGAACGGGACAACGCGTCTGGATCTCCAGTGGAATCTGCGGAGTCACTGAACCCGGGCATGATCACACGGGTACTTGACCGAGAAGGGAAGCGTTTCATAAACCTGCACTCAAGTCCGCACAGGAAGCGATGTTGGCACCGGCTCCAGACGCGCAAGCCCGGAGTGCATCTACGAAGCTGCGGTAGGCGGTACTACAGCTACAGTGCATTTAACTACACATCACCAAACTGCGGTAGGCGGTACTACAGCTATAGTGCATTTAACTACACACCACCGAACTCAGCACTGCTAGGCATCGCAGCCCACCGCCTCACAAGCCGTCCAATAATGAACTACGCCCAGAGCGCCTGACCCGCCGGCACTCAGCCGGGCTCACCTTGAACAGGGCACACCGGTCTGTCTTCGCGAGCGTGGCGGCTAGCGAGAAGTTAAATCGCTTCTCGAACTCGGCGTCGGCCAGCAGGAACGGCTGCTCGGGCAGGAAGCGACCCTGGCGACCGCTCTCCTCCAGCCAGCGCTGGGAGACGATCAGCGAGCAGCCAGCCAGCGCCGAGAGGAACTTGACGGTGCGCTGTAGACGCGCCATCACCAGGTGCGTGGCTTCGGCGGCGCCGCTCGCCAGCGTGCCGCCCAGCCGGCGCACCGTGTCGGCCAGACCGGGCGTCGAGCAGGCCGACAGCAGCACACGCGGCGGGCCGTTTTCCGGGTCGGCCGGCGGCGGCGGCACGCCCGGATCGGCCAGGTTCGGTGACAGCGTCGTCTTCTTGGTGGCCCGGTCCGCCTCGATCTCCTGCAGCTGGGAGCGGCGCGGCGCACAGGTCAGCGCGCGCTGCTGCGGGGACGTTGGGCGCTTCCCCGCTCAGGGTTGTTCCCAGCACCGACACACGCGGCGCGCCGAAGCTGGGCGGGCCACGGCCTCGGTAGTAGGCGCGGGCAAAAACCGGTCCCGGCGTTACGCGCCGAGCGCAGAAGCCGATGCCATTCACAGCTTGGTGGCGGCAGTAAGCGAAAAAGTGGAGACACATGGCACGATGCAGCCACGTGTGCAGATGTAACCGCACAGACGCCTGACTAACATTCCTACATAAGCTGCTGGCTGCACCAGAGAGCGAGAGCGGCTCCCGCAAAGTTAACAGCGTGCTACAATCTCACGAACGTGTTATTACGAGATTGACCGATGAAGTGCTCGATCTGCAAAGCGAGGAACGCCCCACCACAGAGAGACAATGGCCTCGCCCGAAAGCTCACCAGCCCACCCATATGCATCGCAGCCAGACGTCGGACAGGCACCACACAACGGTCACGTTGCTCCAGGCCCAGCCGGCACCCCAGGTTGCTCACCTTGCGCTTGTTGCGCGGCGGCGGGTTCTCCTTGAAGCGGCTCCAGATCTCGCGCGTCACTATGATGGGCGCCTTCCAGGCGGCCATCAGGTGCGGCACCAGGTTGTAGTCGATGCGGAACGGCTCCTCCAGACTGAACTGCTGGTACTTCTGGTGGGCGGCCAGCTGAACCACGCTTTGGTTGCCCAGCAGCAACTCGTTCAGCCACTGCAGATTCACCGCCGGCGTCTTCCACTCGCGACTCTTGGCGTACTTGGGACCCTCCGGTCTGTCCGAGCCGAGGGCGAGGTCAGGCTAGGTCAGGTCATGTTGGTCGGATCAGATCAGGTTAGACATGCAAGCGCGAGCCACAGCAGCACCGAGCATGAACGCTGGGGTCCAGCGCACGATACCACGCACGATCGCTTCTCGCAGCGCATTCGAGATCCCAGCACAGTCGGCGCCCTGCAGACATCGGCCGTGAACTCCTTTCCGCCCCATCCATCGCGGTCCCCCGCCGCACGCAGCCCCCACTGATGTGGACGTACTTGCGACAGATGAGCGTGGTATTGTGCCGCGTGAAGTAGCCCGTGTACTTGGCACCGCACGCCTCCACCATGTGCTTCACGCGGCGACGCTCCTTGTCCTCGAAGCCCGATATAGTAATGATGAGGTTTTTGCCCGGCTTGTCAGCGTCACTGAGGAAAGGGGGGAGGGGTGTTCGGTGGTGCAGCGCACATCGTGTTGACGACATGCTGCCCGGCCGGCGGCGGCCACTCTCAGCTCCACTCAATAACTGCATCCACACAGTCCGAAACCGTGCGATAGGTTGTAGTAAAGTGGTGGCGACCGTAAGCCTGATGCAGGTTCATTTTCCTTCGATTGTTTCTTCCCTGCATATGCTCGTGTCCATTTCTGAAGAAATTAAGTACGACATACCTCCCAGCCCGACGAGGAAGCAGCCCAAGACTCCAGTACAATGTGGGTGAAACTGAGCATTTAACATAATCTAATGATGCATCTCAAAGCCAGCAACACAATCCGGACCACCCGACAACTGGCAAACTGCCCGCATCACAGCTGACCGGCACCGGCTTCGACGATCGAGCCATCGACCCGGGCCCTTCAAAAACAGCAGGCACACGTACGGCCCACCGGCGCCCGGTGCATACCTGTACGAGACGGGCAGATGGAGCGCCTGCCACGGCGGCGTCACCTTGTGCTGCAGGATGATGTCGTTGAGCCAGTAGGCCGTCACACAGCGCTTGTTGTCCCGCATGGCCTGAGGGCAGCGGTGTGACGCGCGGCGTCGGTCTCCGAGGGCGGTGCTGGCGGGAGGGGTCGGGACGGACGCCAGCGGACGGGGCCGACGTCTGACAGACGCCAGCAGTGACGCCCACGTCCTGCCTCGCACGGGTTTCCATCGCGCCCTCTCGATTCGACAGTGGCGCCACCAAACCAAAGCCAAGAGACAGCGCCAAGATCCACGCCACCTCACCCGGCCACGTCGAGCCCTCCCAGCCCAGTGGAGGTCCTGTCCCTGTCCCTGTCCCACTATCCCTCTGTCCCCCGCCGCCGGCCGGCAGCCTTACCGTCTGCACGATGGCGTTCTTGAGCTGCAGGCAGAGGATGTGCGTGACGCGGCCGCTGTACGTCTGCTCCACCTCGCCGCCGTACTGGCTGATCACCTTGCACCAGGACTTGAGCTCGTCCACGGGCGTGCAGTGCTGGTAGTCCACCAGCAGGAACACACAGCCCAGCAGGCACAGGTCGGGCGGCACTGCCGGCGCCGGGGGAGGCCGGTCAGTTCTCGCGCCGCGGTCCGACCTCCGAGCACGCGGCCGGCTCGACAGACGCCGGACGCAGCGCGGCGGCAATCGGGCGCGATCACGGCGAGGTCGGCGGTGGCCGCCGGCATATCGCACCACAGACATCCACGAGTCCTACTGCACTCATCGTCACCCCGCCGCTGCGCCCGGCTCGGCCTCTCCTGACCAGGAGCCCTGTCCTGCCCTGACCTGACCTCACCCGACTCAGTCTGACCCGACCTGGGCTCTGAGCCGCCCTGAGTCGACCCGTGCCCGACTCACGGTTGAGGGTGGGGTCGTGGCCGTAGTACTGGACGCGGACGGCCGGCTGCTGGCCCGGCTTTTGCGGGCTGACGCCCAGCCGGTAGGCGGCCTGCGGCGGCTGGCCGACCGGCGCCGTCGTCAAGCCGGCCTGCTGGAGCACCGCCATCTTGGCTGCCGGGTCCGCCGTCACTGCCGGCCGTCGGGGGCACGGTCACGAAGGGAGTTGTGGGCACACAAAACAATCACAGTCCAGGAACCTTATAGCCCAGTAACTAACTGCCTGGGATTTTGGTGTATCTGTCAGTCTTCGGCGCGTACGCTTACACTAAGCACGGTGCTGGGCGTACCAAAAACACGGGACAGTCTGGTATTGCGTAGGACTGTGGCCCCTCCTCCACCAACAGGCGACAGACAGCTCGCAAGTCCCCCCCCCCCCCCCTCCCCCCTATCCCACTGGCTTCTGTTCGAGCCGGCCGTCCCTGGAGCCTCGGTCGCAGAGCCGTCGGCGGCGGCTCACCGTTCTGGCCGGCGGCCGGCGGCGCGCGCGGCTCGGTCGGCGTCGTCTGCACGCTCTGCGGCGGCGTGGTCAGCACCGGCGTGCCCGGCGTCTCCGGAGTGGAGGAGCCGCTCATCGGCCCGCTCGACAGCCGGTTGTTGAGCAGGTTCGCCAGCGCCGTCTTCGTCTTGGGCTGCACCAGGTTCTGCTGGTTGTTCTGCGTTGCGACGAAGGGGGTTGACTCGCCATTAGAAAGCGTGCCTTCTATTATATCATGGCAAGCTTTTCATGCCTCATTTCTACATCACAAAAACGTCCAGGACTCGTACAGACTCGCTCAGAGTACATACAAAGTAAAAACACACAGTACTGAAAACAGAAGTCTGGGCCAGACCTCACAGTCTCTCCGCCTTCGAGTGATCTGCCATTGCCCCCCCCCCCCCCCATCCCTCTCCACGGCAGTGGGATATCACCAAACCGGCAAACGGTCCAGTCGTTCTTCTGACGCACCAGGATCTGCTGTCGCATCTCGGGCGTCAGCGCCTGGCCGTGCGGCAGCACCACCTGCTGGCCGCCGACCTGCACCAGCCGCTGGCCCGGCTGCAGCTGGCCAGGGTCGCTCTGCTGCCGCAGCAGCAGCTGCTGTGGCACGCCGGCCGCCACTGACTGTGGCACGCTCTGCTGTCGCTGCATAAGCTGTCGGTGGGCGGAAGCGGCGTCAGAACGGCGCACGATAGGCGGATACCGCGTCAGAACGGCGCGCAGTAGGCGGAGGCCGTGTCAGAACGGCGCGCAGTAGGCGGGAGCTGAGTCAAAACAGCGCGTGGTAGGCGGGGGTTGCGTCAGAACGGCGCGCAGTAGGCGGGAGCTGAGTCATAACAGCGCGTGGTAGGCGGGGGTCGTGTCAAAACGGGGCGCGGTAGGCGGGGGCCGCATCAGAACGGCGCGTGGTAGGCGGGGCCACGTCAGAACGGCGCGGCGGCCACAGGACGCCACCCAAAGGCAACATCAAAGTAACGGTCCTACCACGGTGCAATGTCACCTGGCAGGAGCTCGTCAGGTGTGCCGGTAGGGTCGGCATTCCATGCGTACCTGCTGGACGCCCTGAACAGTCGCTTGCTGACGCTGCACCAGCTGCTGCTGCATGCCCAGCACGGACGGCTGCTGCTGCTGCAGCGGTTGGCGCATCTGCTGTCCGGCCACGGCCTGGTCCACCACCTGCTGCCGCTGCACCAGCTGCGCCGGTATCATTCCACTCGGCTGCTGCTGCTGCTGTTGCTGCTGCGGCTGCGGCTGCGGCTGCGGCTGCGGCTGCGGCTGCGGCTGCGGTTGCGGTTGCGGCTGCGGCTGCGGCTGCGGCTGTGGCTGTGGCTGTTGCTGTGGCTGTGGCTGTGGCTGTGGCGGCTGCGGCTGCGACTGTGGCTGCTGCGGCTGCTGAGGCTGTTGCTGTTGCTGCTGCTGCTGCTGTTGCTGCTGCTGCTGCTGCTGTTGCTGCTGTTGCTGCTGCTGCTGTTGCTGTTGCTGCTGTTGCTGCTGTTGCTGCTGCTGCTGCTGCTGCTGCTGAGCGGCCATCGTCTGGCGGATTTTCTCCAGGTTCTGCTGCACCTGCTGCTGGATGGGCTCCTGCGAGTCGGACGGCATTTGCGCCGGTCGCACCTGTCCGCGTGCGGGCCAGTCACACGCCGCACCGCAGCCGTCGGCTGACGTCACCGAGCTGTGCTGCGTCAACGGCAGGGTGACCAGGTGGGGCACACGTGCGACGCGGTCGCTCCGACACACCAATGGTTGCCCGAACAGCGCATCGCTCAGTTATGCCTACAAAAAACGCCACTTGCAGCTGGGTCAGTTGGACCCGCCCTCAGCACAGAGACGGCTCGAACCGACACACAGCATTCACGTGAGCGACACCCGGGCGGACGGCGACGGGGGCGTGCCGTACCTGCTGGATGATCTGCTGGGCGGGGGCCGGCGGCCGCGCGATCTGCGTGACCATGCGCGGCGTCTGAGGCTGCCCCACCGGCACCGGCATCGGCATACCCTGCCGCACGGGACGCACCACGCCCTGCCGGCCGGAGCGGGCGCGGCGGTGAGACACGGCACCCGTCGCCGGCGCTACACGGACGCCGCCACAGCGCAGCGGCGAGGACGCGGCGCTCGCGGCGGCGGACGGCCGGGCGCGCGCGAATGCGAGGTACGCCCGGAAAATTGGGCGGAGGGTTTAGTCTTGTGCTGAAAACCTACAGCGGTGGCACGACAGCAGCCTTTTTAAAGACTTGCCCCTGCGATCTACACCGTGACGTGGCTGATCACGCCAAGATAATGTGGATCGTGGAAATGGACGAACGAGCCGACGAAAGCCGAGAGTCACGAATCAACGAAACTTGCAACTTGTGAAAAAGGAAAACTAACCTCACCCATGATAGATCGCAGACCGGAATGGGCAGTCAGTGCGCCAGTTCCATAAGCTGACAAAAGCCGCTGCCCATCCGCTGTGCGTCCGAGCATCACATGCAGGCTAAATAAACCACGGCGCGACCCCGACATGGCGCTCCTCTCGCGGTCCAGTGAGACATCAGGACCGAGGGCGTGCGAGGGACGCCGTCCGGCCCGGCGTGGAGCCCGTCCCGCACACGCGCCCGTTCGGAGGCGCGCCTCACCTGGATCTGCTGGATGGGGTGCGGCGGCCGCTGCAGCTGCTGCACCTGCGGGCCCAGCCCCGGCTGCTGACCCTGCGCCAGTCCCGGGCGCGCCTGCCACTGCTGTTGCTGCTGTTGCTGCTGTTGCTGCTGCTGTTGCTGCTGCTGCTGCTGGAGTGAGCGCTGCCGGAACTGGAAGTGATTTATGAGGATGCTGCGGTGCTGTGGGTCCATGCGCTCCAGGTACTGCACTCGCTGCTGCGAGTCCAGGCTGACCAGCCGCTGCTGGTGCACCTGCACGATGTGATCCTCGCGCCAGCCCAGCCGCTGCTGCTGGCCGGGCGCCGGCTGCGCACCGGGCGGTGCCGCCTGCTGCACGGCCATGCGCACGCCGTCGCCCGGCTGCACGGGCGGCCGCCATGTTTGTACGCCCATCAGCTGCGGCTGCGGCGGCTGCGCCTGCGAGTACGCCGGCTGCTGGCGCTGGATGTAATGCTGGCCCTGGTGGCGGATCAGTTGCTGCGGCTGCGACGCCGCCTGCTGGCCCGGTACGCTGTAGGCAACAGACTGCGCTGGCTGCTGGTGCTGATTCAGGATCACGTGCTGCTGATGCTGCGACGTCAGCACCCGCTGCTGGTGCTGCGACGTCATCACTTGGTGCTGCTGCGAAACTAGCACCTGCTGCTGCTGTTGAGGTGGGATCTGCTGTTGCGACGTCATAATCTGCTGCTGGGGAGCCATGATCTGCTGCTGTGACGTCATTATCTGCTGCGGGTGCTGGCCCATAACCTGCTGCTGCTGTGCCAGCGGCGGTGTCCGCATCCGTTGCTGCTGCTGCGCGAGCATCTGCTGGCGCTGCTGGGGCGTCAGCACCATTTGCTGCTGCTGGGTCAGCATCTGCTGCTGTGTAACCAGCTGCGGTCGCTGCTGCTGGCCGGCATGCGTCAGGTGCTGCTGCTGCTGCTGAGGACGCTGGAGCGTCGACTGTAGCGGTGACCGGATCTGCAAACCGACATCGGACCCGTAAGGCGATGTTCCAGCGATACCGCTGCCGCGCGCGTGTGCTGGCTGGGCAGGCAGACGAGACCTGAATCAGATGTCACAACAAAGGAGATCGGAGATCAACGCCGGGTGTAGCAGTGCTTCTTCTCTTGTTATCATGACACACAAGAATAGCCGCTGCCTCCTCGGTCACCAGCTAAAGGTGGCGGCCTCCCCCTCCCCCCCCCCCCCCCCCCCCGTCTCGGACCGAGCGGCTTCATCGACTTCTGACCTGCTGCTGCTGCAGCTGGACGGGCAGCCGCTGCAGCTGCTGGCCGGCCACCGCCATCCGGGGCGACATCTGGCGGGCGGCGGCCGGTGACGTCCCTGCCGAGGCCGGCGTGGCGGGCCGAGGCGCGGCGGCGGGCGGCCGTGGGCCGGCGGTGACCGTGACGGCCGGCGCCGGCGGCTGCACACGCCCGGGGACGCGTCAGAAATGGGCACAACACGGACGGAGCGAGGCGCGGATGCGGCTGGGTGGGTCAGGAGTTAAAGCGGACCCAGCATGGGCAAGAGTGGAACAGGGCAGGATGGAACAGGACACGAGCTAGGCCAGGACGATGCCTGGCAGCTGACAGCGTCCCTGGCGACACGGTCCACAAACACAAAGCACACGCGTGTTGGTCGAACTGCTACGCACGGTAGAGAAGGTGCAGGTAAATTGAGGCAGATGTCATGACTTGGGAATGCCAGATGTGTTCGGCACCGGATGGCATGGCCTGGACGATATGGTAGATGTGTTTGAAATAAGGCTGCCTGGACGAGCTGAAAGAAAATCTGACCAAGAACGCTATGTATTTTTGAAACATGTAATCAGAATGTCGCGTAAGAGCCAACAACAGGTACAGCGCGCATATGCAATTTACACGTTCCTGCATCAAAATAATATACTGCACGACTTTCTGTCCTCCACGTCCAAAAAAAAATGGTGACCATGTTGATGGTCCCGAACCTTATGCCCGACACGTTCTGCCGCACCCGGTGCCGCACCAACCCAGTCCCATCTCCCGCCACCACACCAACGCTCCCTGGCCCCGCGTCCGCGCCTCGCCCGTTTCCACCTTGTCGGGCTGATTCCAGGGCAGGTTCTGCTTGAGTCGCGCCAGCAGCTGCTGCTTCTCCTGCTCGCCGCTAGGCCGGCGGTCCTCCTCCTCGCCGAAGCCGGTGATGGCGGCCAGGGCCGGGTCGGGCGGCGGTGGCGGCGTGGCCGGCGGTGGCGGCACCAGCAGGCGCGGGTGAAAGGCGGCCGCCTCGCTCAGCCGGCCGGCCTCTGCCGAGCTCGTCACCCAGTCAGGCGTCACCGGCACCGGCCCCGCCGGCTGCAGACACCGCTCGTACATGGCCTGCGAGCGCCGGCGCAGGCCGATCAGCGCCGGTGGCGGCGGGGACCGGTGGCGGCAGCAGGCCTGCGCCCGAGACAACGGCGGGGAGCGGCGCCAGGCAGCAGCCACACAGAGACTGAGGCCGTGCCAGCCGGTGACAGCACGGGACGACACGGACAGAAGCTCCCATGCTAGCTGCGTACATTGGTGGGCAATTAATTCCTATATATACGGCCTGCTGTCCTCCGTCGCAGAAACCCGAACACCGACTACGTCGAACCCGTCAACATTCCCAGGACCAGCTCAGCACCTCGACACCCGCCCAGCTCGCAGGCCGCAGTCTCCGCCGCCGGCCGTCAACTCACGCCCTCCGGTTTGCCGACCACCAGATGGGTGCAGCGCGCGTCCAGCCGGCGCTGGAAGGCGCCACCGTGGAAGGTGACTAGCGCCCACACGGTGCGCACGTCGTCGGGCTCCAGCCGGCTGCAGCAGACGCGCACCCCGCGAAACACCTGACCCGGCGCATGGCTGAAGGCAGCCGTCCTGCGGGTCTCGGTCAAGGGGTGGAACTGACAGAGGCTAACTGAGGTGCATAACAAACAGCAGAGGTGAAACACAGCTGAATTGTTATTATCTATGTCCGTGCCACATGGTAAGATCAAAGTGATGAGCAGGTGAAGAGAAGAGCACAGTGTTGGCTATAAGGTGTAATCCAATAAGACAAATGTAAGCACACTGACAAGCTTGACACCTACCCTGCCCATGTCTCGACGTTTGGCCAGCTGTTTCCAGGATGTTAATACATTGCCATACTATTAGACCCCCGCTCGGGGTTCACTGCGCTATTCCGCAACCCGCTCGAGATGGACCAATCAGCATCGAGCCAGATGGCAGTCAATTCAGCATTTAGGCGCCTTAGGCTTGACAAATCAACCTGGCAGGTGCAGAATCAGAGTCTGGAGTCAAAAGGCAACTGGTCAGCAGCCACCACAACGTGCGTGCGGAGGCAGCAGGGAAGCCTAAGTCTCAAAGCACGAATTTATGGTAACATTTTGCACACCCGACCAGATGAATTTCGAAATGCTCTTCCCTGCCAACATACAGGTGGTTTGTGGAACGAAAGTGTGTTCAAATACAGCACTGAGAATCCACACGCACATGCACATGCACACGCACACGCACACGCACACGCACACGCACACGCACACGCACACGCACACGCACACGCACACGCACACGCACACACACACACACACACACACACACACACACACACACACACACACACACACACACACACCATCACAACATAATGTCCTTGCACAAAAAAGCCAAGTAGTTCAACTGCTAGCACGCCAAGGATACGGAAGCAGTTTTCCAGCAGCTGCGGAGAGTGTGACCCAGACTGCCCTGAGAGCAGGCCGCTCATAGAGGTCATGTGCTTCATTAATGACATCTTCATCTGGTAACTCTCCAACAATGAGGTGAGTTGTGTAGTCTGTGAAGTATGTCTCTCTCTTGGCACCACCATTTTCCAACTGTTCTTCAACCTGGGGCAAAAAAAGGCACATGTATTGGGGTTTTAAACATGAAAAATGTCACAGACTACACAACTGTGCATTCTGATCGCTTAGTTGGCTAGAAAGACTGCTTTCTGATCCACCCGTGGCAGGGTGGGTTTTATTTGCTTTAGGGTCTACCTATTTACCCCAAATGGACAGATGGTGGCAGCAGCTGTACTAAAGGTCAGATGATGTTGAAGGGCCAGAACGCCATACTGAACATTGCAGCATTCTGAAATTTTGCCACCAAACTCTGCTGTTGATCTAGACTTACATGATTGGAAAGAAGGGACCAGGGCTCACACAAGCACTGCTGAGCATGAGCTCTCATCAAAGAAATCCATCCATAGGAAAGGTTCAGGTGAAGTCTTAAAAAAATAAACATGAAATTTGTATGAGCAAATTGCACTTAAAACTTGTGATAGTGCATAACAGCATTCATTGTCATGTTGTCACTGAATGATGTCACACAAGATATGAAGCAAATTAATGCTGCAATGCTATGAAATGAAAATGGCACCCGCCACAAAAAGAAAAATGGCATCACAACAATGATAAAATACCTTCAAATGGAACATTTTCCAATGAATCAACACAGTGGCTGTGTGCTATCAAAGCAAATCTGGCATTAACACAATCATTTCAATAGCAACTGAAAATCATGCTATGTGGCAATAATACACAAAAGTCTGCTTCCTGTGACCACCTCCTACAAGGTTGAATAACAGCAGACCTATTTCCAACAAAAGAAAGCAAACCTTACTTTGTATAAGATTTCAAATAGTATTTAGATTCCATGTAGATGCCAAAGTAATTAACCAGTCATCAAAAGTACAATGATTATAAAGGACCACCTCCAAAGCCTAGCAACAGCATGTTGGACTGGGGATAGGGATAACAGGGACAACTGTTAAATAGCATAGCATGATACGCATCTAGGGATAACATGCTGGACCTAGCAGCACCATATACCATTAAAGAGAGCATCCTGCCTGTTTGTACATTTCAATCACTGTTAGATTAGACATGTACAATTTGATCAGCAATGCCAGTCCCCTCAAAATCTGTCTGAATAGCTCAGGATTTCTATCTGAGGCAGCCAACCCTGAGGGACAGAATTTGATTCCTTGCTCACCAATAAGTAAAACATTTGATTTGTCTTGCTTTTTCTGGCATGTGTTCTACAATGTTTGCGTGTGCTGAGTTAAAGTGCTTGTGCAATAAATACCCCAAACACTTAAAACGTTGCTTGAATGGAAAGGTATGCACATATGCAACTATTATTTTGTGAGTTGAGCAAAACATTTGCCAATTCCTCTTCTATCAGCTTGCTGCAGTGGCTCTTTTCCAGACACAATTTGGCTGTGGGAATGTATCACATGAACCATAGGAGGCACTGATTCAAACTTAAGCCAATGCTCTGATAAAAGGCTCATTCCCTTGGCCCATTCCCAATCACAGGTGTTCTTTTATTTGCACCAGCGCAGGTGCCACTGGAGTTGTCATGATGATGGCAGTCCTAACTACAGGGAAGAGGCTTAGTGCTTCCAGTGCTTAACAAATTATGTTGTCAACAAAGTAATGTCAACATAATCTGGGCCACAGAATAAGTAAAGGTTATTTCCTTGCACTGACTGTGCCACAATAGCATTACTCAGTGGCACCATTAGGCATGACTAGTCCTAAGGTTTCACCAAAATATGATTTTGAAATATGTCCTGAAGGTGGTACACTCCCTTTAATATGCCTGACATAAAAAACCAGGCTGTTGCACTCAGCAGCAACAAAAGTCCTCTCACGACTAGTCTGCAAAAAAATCCATCCACTGCCTCAGTGCCTAAAAAATATTTGTGTGCTGACCCTGGTGCAAACATGTGCCAAACTCAGGTCAGGCTAAAATGTGTTACATTCTAAAATCACTTCCTTGAAAAAATTTTGAGTACATTTTTGCATGAAATGGTCATTGCAATATCAAAATTCCTTGGAACATGTGTAAGTTCTACATGCACAGAAATCAGATGACAATGTGCAACAAACTCATGATATCTTGAATGAATGGCATGCCTTTGCCAAAATTATTTCTTTGGTGTCACTGCTATGCTGAACTTGCTCAGAATAACATATTTCAGCAGTCTAATCTCAAGGGGCAGCTGGCAGCCTGAGAACTTGGGGGACTCAGCTCTCCTGTTCCCAGACCAGTGGTTGAACTTGGAACTGAGATGAGTTGATGTAAGCATAACCTTCGAAACTTAGTGCATACATGCCACTTCACCAGCAAATTATGTGTCTGGTTATCACATGCTTGAAACCTCACAAGTTCTGGCTGTATGACACATGTTAGGGGTATGCCATATCGCACATGACATCCCGTCACCACGTATGGTTCAACGAAAACAAAACGTCTCACCTTCGGAGATAATCTGCCGGTGGTGAAGTACCTAATTGAACTAAATATTTGAGCCATACTCTCGTTACCAGTTATTTTAACAAACGCGATGTATCGGCGTTGATCACTTATGACTCAACCCGGTCATAATGAAGCAGAAATTACACTCATTTGGGCCCTAGCACATGCACGCCCCCACACATTTCCCGCGGCCTTGTCTCACAGCACGAGAGCTGGAAGTAGAAATATGGCGGGAACTGGTATTATCACGTATCCGGCTAATCTGATGCAATATTGGCGCATATGCCCTCTTAAGAGTGCCATATCTTATGTTAGATAATTTCCGCTACCCTTGAAGGATTCCTTCGACAGAGTACCACCTCAGTGCCTTCGACATCGGATTTTGTGCTTTTAGTGCAGGAACGGATAATAGAAGCGGGGGTGGGGAGAGAGTCAGAGACAGACATGGAGCTGCCCCATTCTTGGACAAATCTAGCATCAAGCCCATAGTGTTCCACGGCGGGAAACTTGGAAAAATGCATTCGCTCCTAACTGAATAGGCAACGGCACCCCTGCTCAGATGATTAGTGATGGTATTCGCTGCCTATGGTATTTATGTATTTAAATCGCACGTTTTTTGAGTGAATGTTTTTGGCATGCGTTCAGGACTCAGTTCTTTGGAATGTACATATCATTCCTAAATCTGCCGAGAGCTGTAAGTTAAAGTTAAGTCATTTCTATCCTGAATAAATCAAAATCAGGAGCGAAAAAATGGCCAGATATTATTGGTGATTCTGTCGTGGCTCAGTTGTCTGACAGCATTCCACTTCTGGAATATCGATGTCTCGTTTAGCATTGTTCGGGTACTCACCTTAAACTTGCTTTATGTCCAACACCCGATGACCGCCTCTGACCGGTGCTGGCGTGCAACAAGGACGAGCACAGAGGCGGCTATGTATCATTATGCTAGATCGCCCCACTAATCGTCTGGTGAAGCCGTCTGTCGGAGCGCCGTTCCACCGATAAAGCATGCTATGAGATGGCTTCATCGCGATCGTCGCGGTATCAGTCGCGTGGAGCCAAATACTATGAGATTGCTTCATCGCGATCGTCGCGGTATCAGTCGCGTGGAGCCAAATACTATGAGATTGCTTCATCGCGATCGCCGCGGTATCAGTCGCGTGGAGCCAAATACTATGAGATTGCTTCATCGCGATCGTCGCGGTATCAGTCGCGTGGAGCCAAATACTATGAGATTGCTTCATCGCGATCGTCGCGGTATCAGTCGCGTGCAGCCCAACAAAATCCCTTTGCCGTCGTTGTTAAAAGCTCGAGCTGTCCAAGAAAGGATGGTCTGACATCCTGAGAAACTGCACCCGTACATCATAGGTGTGCTCCATAACCTCGAATCACAATACGGATAACGGAAGCGATGGAGAAACGGATAGCGAAGATAAGACAAGAAAGAAACGAATGGCGATGTGTCATAGGTTCTCCTCTGATAAACTCAAGCATGAGCCAAGCTTTTTTTGTGACCTCTGGTTCACAGACAGATCTTATTTTCCCAGTGGTCATACCAACTCGTTATTTATTGGGTTTTAAGAGCGCGCCAACTGCATTGGTTGTTCGCGCCGGCTGTACCAGCCCAAAGAACAGTATGTACTGGGTAGGCTCTTCGCCCGACATGGCGCTGCAGTGACCGCTGCACTCAGTGAATCGTATCGCACATGGCTGATAAAACCCAAGGGTTTTTTTTTTTACCAGATCGTTCTCGTCTTGTTTGAGGAAGGCGGCCGCGCAGCTGCAGTGAAAACGCGACCCTGCATCGAGGTCTTGAGGAATTCTGGAAGTGCCTTTCTAGGAAAAAAAAACACACATACAGACGTGCTATCCGGTGGCATCAACAGAGCGGAACGCACTCTATCGTTTCCATGGATCACTAGAATGGCTCCAGGATCACCTCGCGATGAAGTGATCTGTCGCCGACTTGACGTGGCGAAGCGGCTCGCTCTCCTGACTTGTTACCGCAGACTTCCCGCTGTGGGGGCACCTGAAGTACAATCCCTTACGACGGCAGTCCGCAGACAATCACACAACCCGAAGCAGAAGAAAACAGGATATCCAAGCGATCCCCATGACTCAGTGCCCGAACGCTAAACAATGTCGCCAAACGCATTGCGTTGTGTTTAAGTCGCTCATATTCTTGCATTCTCTCGATTTCGCACGCAGCACGTGTAGGATGCTTATCCATTTAACAATCGCATGGGTGAAATATACGCCCGTACTACTTTCTAAGCGTACGAATTTGTGTCCTGAAACGTTCAAAGGTACTTGTTTCAGTGAGCCGCGGGGCAGACTCCGCGCGGCCTACGGAGACCGCGGTGCCGGGCGTTGAGGTTGTTGCTAAGATTTGCGAGCGCGTGTGTTCAAAACCGTGTTGAATTTTTTCAGTAATCGGCTCGAATGAATGTCAGACATTTCAAGGGAAACCTGGGCTAGCCAATGTGAATCAATGTAAATTGTGTGACCCCGTTTTGATCTAGAATCCACGTTCATTAGTTTTCAATATCACTGAAGAACACAGAAAAACGTTTAGTAGCGTTTCGGAGTTTTATCGGTTTAGAAAGAGTCCATTTAACCATTCCAAAGTGAAGAACGACGGTGAATTATGCTATTCAGTTGTTCAAGGCCAGATTGTTCAAGGTTTGTTGCCTCCCCAATGAACCAAAATGCCTGTTCGCTCGTAGAAACTGGCCTCCCCAGGAAAGCAATGTTGAAATGGACGATTAATTTTAGGAAGCCGGAAAGTCGTGTTTGCCGAATGGCATATATTAATTGGATAGGCAAGATTGCGCACCAGTGGGAAACAGCCGTGGATGTACATCTAGCACAGCAATCATGGCATATGATTTTCCAACATTTGTATCGTGAGCCTGGCCGCTCACTTTCTAAAACGTTCTAACGCATCTGATTTGAATTCATTGAGCTCGTCTGACTACCAGATTTGCTCCAACCGCTCAAAGAACTCATTCTTTTTTTTCGCAGGATAATAGATGCCTTGCCACCCTGCCATGCTCAGCAACGTGTCATGCCCACGCTTGACAGCTTTTTGTATGTTGCCCGACGTAAGTACCGATTCGGCTTGTCCAGTGACTTTCTTGCGCGCCTTTTTGTATGTTGCCCGACGTAAGGACCGATTCGGCTTGTCCAGCGACTTTCTTGCGTGCCTTTTTGTATGTTGCCCGACGTAAGGACCGATTCGGCATGACCAGTGACTTTCTTGCGTGCCTTTTTGTATGTTGCCCGACGTAAGTACCGATTCGGCTTGTCCAGTGACTTGCTTGCGTGCCTCTTTGTATGTTGCCCGACGTAAGCACCGATTCGGCCTGTCCAGCGACTTTCTTGCGCGCCTTTTTGTATGTTGCCCGACGTAAGTACCGATTCGGCTTGTCCAGTGACTTTCTTGCGTGTCTTTTTGTATGTTGCCCGATGTAAGCACCGATTCGGCTTGTCCAGTGACTTTCTTGCGTGTCTTTTTGTATGTTGCCTGATGTAAGCACCGATTCGGCTTGTCCAGTGACTTTCTTGCGTGCCTTTTTGTATGTTGCCCGACGTCAGCACCGATTCGGCTTGTCCAGCGACTTTGTTGTGTGCTTTTGATACGCGGAACTCGGTCTAGTTACAAATAAAGCCATTGTGTTGCTGCGGTAGACTTAGTTTATAGGGAATGCTTAACATCCTTGGTGCGATGCTTCCGCGGCAGGAAAACGTTGACGGGGCTCCAGCGGTAACCGTGGTAAATGAACTGAAAGCTCTGCTTCTGATGGTGTGTTCGTGAGTCCCGCGCTCTTCCGTTCACTCGCTAAGTAACAATTTGGAAAGTGTCTAAGGTTGCTGCACTCGCGCATGTGGTGGGATCGAAAACGTGCATTTTGGAACTGCAGGCGCTCTCGCTCTAGAAAGCATGAGGTTTTACAATATTTGCGCCCCATGTTTTCGATCCACGTGTGCTCAAGAGCGCACGTCGGACTTTTGTGCGCATAGGCCGACCCCTAGAGGCCTCCGATAGAGCTCCCGAAGCGGTCCCTTCAGAGGCTAGTTGCTGTGCACACCTTCACGACGTCCCCGTCTGTCCCGGGCTGCTCAATGGTACGGTGTGATGTGCTGCATGGAACTTTGTGAACTTAGGCGCATCCCGGGTCCATCTACCTATTTCATGCCTTCCTTCGATACCCTGAGGGCCCGCATTTTCTAATGGAGGGACAAGGGCCCATATGCTTGACGTCCTCTAGAGAGCCGCTATAAAGGACGTCTATACAGAGGCGCGTTTGCGCCTATGGTTGATATGGGCGGTGGATGCGCCTGAAGGCGATGTCCATGGTACGGTGTTCATGACGAAGTCTAAGGGCACTTGGTACAACTATCTAAAATTTGGCCTTGTTTGACCTTATTGAACCTAAATTTCATAAAAGCAGGACATAAAAGCAGTACACAAATGATTCCACATGGATTACAACCTACCTATTGAATTTGAAGTCTATAGCTCTCTTAGTTTGTGAGATCTCGGGGGAGCAAATGACCCCCCCCCCCCCCCACACACACACCCGAGCGCGTTGCATGCAGCCGGCCATTCAGGCGCGTGTTACGCCGAAACCCGAATTAACTCATAAATAATGATCACACGCGGAATTGATTTTCTACATAGATGTGGCGATTGGTTCTGCTGACTCCGAAGCGAGCGCAGGTTCGAGTGTTGGTGCTGCTTTGAGCTCCCATTCGAGCCAAAAATCCAACGGCCCCATAACTCCACCGTCAAATGGCGGAAACCATGACACGACACCGTCCTGGGTCAGACAGTGCTGACTAGGCAACGACTGCCAAGTTTGTATTGCTGTGACACCCAGTAGCGCACAGGCCACGGTCTGAGAAGTTGGAAGCATGACGAGCCACTCTCAAATTGCGAACGAATTTCGCCAGATTGCCGTTCGGAGCTCGTGTTATCAAAGATTTTTGGGAAAATGAACACAAAGCGACGAAACAGGCGACGTGACGAGTAGGTCCGTTTAGCGTGATGGCGTGCGCTCTCATTGCCTCTTGTAGACGCGCGTGCAGACGACACCATTGCAGGAAACGACCTGAAACCGGTCATGGTAACTATTAGCACCTGGTCAGACCTGCTCTGCTATGATCCCGCCGGCACTGGTGACCGATAT